CATTGTAGGTTCATGGGCCTTTTCCTATATGCCATTGATGAGAAGCTTGACATTTGCCAGAATAAATGGGGCGTCCTAATTTCCCATTCATCAGTCAAGGAAATATATGAGGGTCCTTTTATATTGTTGGAACAAAAACAAATATAAAATAAAATTGTACGAATTTAATTTTGTGTGTGGTGTGGTGTGGTCCACTACGGGGGACAACTATGGGGAAAATGAGAGAGAGAGAGAGAGAGAGACAGTGTCACGGGAATTCTCAAAGGACTTTCCCAAGCAAACAACAAGTTTATTTAATTCAAAAAGAGAAAATATAGAGGTGGTGATGAAGATATAAGTGATTGGGATGGGTTTCCTTCCTATGATTCCCATATACAAATAAAAGTTCAGTGGGATGCCATCAAACCATTCATAATTGAAAATGGGACTAAAACGAGAGCATCATCAGCTGCAGCAGAATCACAGGCTCACAGGCTCACAGGCTCACAACTTGGGAAATGGAAGAGAAAATGATTGCAACCCTAATTTTGGAATATTAATTTTCGCAAACTTATAGTAAATTACAACTTTTAAGTGAAGAAAAAGTGTTTAGAGCTCGTAATTAAGTCATGCCAAAATACACACGAGTTATTTAAAAACACGACATGATGGAGCATGAAAATGCTTTAAATACGTAGACTTGATTAAAATTTCATACCACTTGGGACACGATATATACAGAATAGGATATTAGACCTAATTTAAATAGACATCCCAATGGACCTCTACTTATTTATGGTGTGTGTGCATGGATTGACTAAAGAGGTTTAGCTACCATCGAGGATGAAGGTATTATCCCGCCAATTTTAAATGATGAGAGAGAGGCCTCAAGTTTCAATGTTTTTGCGTAGGCTCTGACCTCATTCCTTTTCTTCTTCTTTTTTTGTTTTTTTTTTTTGGGTCTCTCTCTCTCTCTCTCTCTCTCTAGGTAAATTGAGTTCACTTTCACCTCTGTTTGAAGCTGGAAATGGAAGTGATGGTGTTGGACCAGAAATGATAAGAAGAAGTCAAATATAGTTTTCAAAGCATGAACCTTTTTATGTGTGTGTAACAGTGTTTGACTGCATGCATTATTGTTAGTTTGTCCACTCATTATCTCATTATGAATGATGAATGAATGAATGAATGAATGAATGAATGATCCTTACTTACTATTCCCAGCCGTCAGATTTTCCTTTTTAAGTAGAGCATCTTATACCCTTCACCTTGAGAACCAAAAATGTCTTGTATCGCACAAAGGCATTGGGAAATTAATTCTAAACCCATCCAATCCACACTGCCCCTGCCCCGCACGCAAGACGATCGATGGATCGATGGATCGATGCATGATGCATGTGTTGTGGAATTAATTAGGGCACCCGAATTCACACACACATATTATATTATATGCATGCATGTTGATGTTGGCATCTTCGTTTTATTCTTTATATGATGGTATGATGTAATGTCATGGGCCACGTCAGCCTAAACGGCGTTGATTTCGGTGATTCCTTCCTTTGCTTTTTGTCGTTTCATCGATACTCAAAGGAAGCGAAGGGGACGGTGGTGGTGATGATGCTATTCAAATCTCAAAGCAACATGTACATGCTTGTATGGCTGTATCCTAATCTCACGAATCGCCATGAACAAACTAATATTCTTCTTTTCATTAATTCATTCATTAAGAAATGATTCATCCTGATGATTAGCAATGACAGTAATTAAATCACTGATAATTAATATAAGTGGTAGCTGTTTCATGTTTTTTCCTTCCTAGTAGAACCACAACCACAACCACTTGGCTGGGGAGCTATTTTTCTAGCTAGCTCTTGCCTTGCAGTCAAAGAATGCCACATTAATAACCCTATTAAGTTTGGATCTGTTGCCTAAGTATGAAATTAAACTCCAATTTAGTTTAGATAGTTAGGTGTCATTCATATAGTATTGGTCTACTGCACGTGCTATGGACGTGAAAAGATGAAAAACATTAACGATTTATTTTGAAGAAGCATCTAAGTAGTAAAACAAACGCAACATATATATATATATATACAGTCTCCTTCTATTGAGGGATCTCTCAAATAATTTTATTTGAGGGACGCCCTTTAGGGTACCATACAATTTTTTTCCCAATGATCCAAACTATCTATTTTTAAAGTCTTCATTCATAGATCATTTTTACAAAAAATTAGACAAATCGGAAACCGTTTCGACATCCAACTGTGTCTTACAAAATCAATGAACACGATGTTTCAAAAAAGTACTAAAATTTCTATAACTCAAATGAGTGGTCAAATGATATCGGATTCAAGTAATTTTTTATAGAGATGATCTTTGAATGAGTATGTACAAAATAGAAGGTTTGGATTAGTGAAATACAATCCGGAGTGAGGCCTACAAGAGGTGTCTCTCAAATAAGCTTATTTGAGGGATACTTCAATGAAAACTCTCTGTATATATATATATATATATTTGAAGAGACACATGCATAAATCTTGGTAAATTATAAACTAAACTCGTGTCAGTTCTTACTTGGGATGCACTAAACCGGGAATTAACCAAATGCAAGAATAATTAAACGCATCTCTAATTAATTAGCAAGCAATATTGCTTATAGTTTATCTGTCACTTGTGTGAAGCAACTGGAAATTAGGAACCCATTAATGCAAAATGCAATATATCTGGTCGAGGAAGGTTTATATTATATATTCTTTGAGGTAGGTGGCATGTGAAAATGAAAATATAACGGATGTGAATTGTTTTTAACGTGGACCCAAATGGGGTCCTTGTCAGAAAAGGCATTAATTAATTAGAAAAAATAAAAAAATAAATCAAATGGGTTAGAGATAGAGTATGATGAGACAAGCGCACGGAATAATTATATGAGAATATGGCCCCAAGCAATTGAGGCCATAGAGAGACATGTTGACCGGATATTTTAGTCCGCTGCAATGCAACCTTAATTATTATTATTATTATTATTCAAATAAATCCAACAAGATGAGGATTTGAGGGAGAGAATATATGATGAGGAAGGATGGTAATTTATAATATAATTAAAGTAATGCAAAATTTGCATTTCCCGGAGAATCTAGAGCGCATCAGGCGCTGACCATGGCTTCCAAAATTATTAACAAATGATTAACGTTTTCTAGTCATCTTGTTGTTTCTGTAATCACCCCATTATTAAACAAATCATATAATTATATAATTATAAAGGAGAGAAAAGTCATGGGGGTTTGAGTTTGTGAGAGGAGGAGCATAAAAAGACCAATACAAGAGAACAAAGAAAGAGCCTCTTGCCTAGACAAGGTCACGTCCATATGTCACGTGACAGGAACCCACGTTGACGCCGAGGAATATGGTCCTCCCTCCCTCCTCCTCCTCCTCCTAACTTGTCCTAATCCTCAGTCCTCAGTCCTCAGACTCAGTTTCATTTTAATTTTATTTAATTCAGTTTTGTGGGTTTCTACGCACGCGCGGGTGGGGCTCGACAGATGGGTTTTGGCCAAGGAATACTTGGACACGGAGAGGGAATATTGGGGACGATCGAAGACTCTGGATCGGACAAATACTAGCCGATCAAATTTCCAAACTTCATCGGCTTCCACTTCATCCAACGCGCTCTCTTTTCCCACGCACTGTTCCTTTACCATCGTTTTTATTAGATTAAAAGATGGAGAGCGCATAGATATGAGTTATGTTAGTTCATCAAGAAAATATACCGTGTACTTGTACTCAAATTCTATTACTTTTTTTATACATTAAAATAATTTAAAATATCGTCCTGTATTATGAGGAAAGTAAGGATGAGAGCGCGTGGGATGAAGAATGTTTGAGAAACTTGAATGGTAAGGGGGGGAGAGAGAGAGAGAGAGTTGCATGTGGCTCTGCGACCCTCGTGTCGCCGGACACCCCAGCCATTCTGACACTTCCTCTCTCTCTAGCTATTATATACCCTTACTTAATTCTATTAATTCCCTCTCTTTATGATCTTCTTATTTATAACCAGGACTGATAATATATCTAATATGTATTATATATTCTAATGCTACGGCCATAGCTAAAATACTCGCACGTGTACAGCTCGATTATGATTGACAAACCAGTATTGCCCACTTGGACCAGCGACTATATATGAAAGACAACATTGCAGGGGATGCAGCACTAGATCAGCTGGCAATTAATGTATAGTCGGTTTGATTTACTACTTAACTAAGTTAGGGTTGGACGACTGGAACACAAGTATGAACTATCCTAATTTAATTATGCAACGGGTGCTAGTGTTGGTATTAATTCTTAGAAAAAAAAAAACAAAACAAAATGTAAGGTAAATGAGTTTCCTAAAAGTATACATGTCCGAGTCATCGTATTTAAAGGATGTTTGGTTTATTTTGAGTTGAAATGCATCTATTTACGCGTATGATTTTGGTTTTAATTTTTGAATTTTGAACTCTTAAAATTTCGAGAATTAAAATCTAGACTCGTAAAACATTAATCGTATGCCTCAAAACTTGATCAAGAACCAATATAGTTCTATTAGGTATAACCAATATACTTTGATTTTTGAGTTTGTATGCATGGTATTGAATTATTAAGTTTTGGTAATTATGTTAGTTGCATAACATGAAACATGATGTTAAGTTCTCATATAAAATAAACTTAAGATGGAAATGCGAGTGATGCCGCGTCTGCAAGAAGGTGCACGAATAAGGGCAGAGCTCTTTGAGCTTTGAACGGGGATATTTTACGGTGCTACTAGTCAATCCTCGTTCATGAAGTAAAATGGAAATATTCTAATGTAAGGAAATATTAAACTTGAATGAGAATAATATCTGATAGTAACGAAAACAGTAGGGTATTTAAATGGGTCGCGATCCATCCGTCCATTCATCCATCCATCAAACGCGAGAGAGAGAGAGAGAGTCAATTCCGATTCCGATATTCCATTGAACAGTACCCTTTTTGTTTTCTCGAATTCCAACCATTCCCTTTCTCTGCAGAAACCTCCATTATATCCCGGCACCTCCTTTTCATTCTATACCATAAAAAAGATAACAAAATAAAACGGAGCCTCTCATCTCTCTCTCTCTCTCTCTCCCTCTAGACTAACTCTTAGTCTCTCTGTGGAAACTGGAAAGGTCTCTGATCCCTCTGCACTCTCTTAAATGCACAACTTCTCCTTTTAACTAACTTTTCCTTCAACCCTTCATCCCAAAAAAACTCTCTTACTTTTTCCCAGTACCATACCATTAATCTCTCTCTCTTTCTCTCTCTCTCCGACTTGTGCTTTGATCTTCCATATATTACTACTTCTTCACCTTTATATCTATATCAAAGCCATCCTACTACTTTAAAAAAGCCTATCTCCGGCTACCTACTTCTAATTTATATATATATATATATATCTCTCTCTCTCTCTCTCTCTCTCTCTCTCTCTGTGTATCACTTCCTCAACCCCAATGCAAATCATAAGGCACTCATGAGTCATGACCATATTATCAGAGTTCAGACCCTTTCATCACCTCCCCTCACATCTTTTTCCTTCAAATTATTAATTTACACATTTCTCCCTTTCCTTGTTTTGTTCTGATCCCTTCCCTGCTTATAAAAATCTCTTCATTTCACCTCACCTTGTGTACTAATCTAGAGCTACTAAGGGACATCACCCTCCTCATGTACCTCATGAACCCTATAATGAGAACTAGTACTTCACCCTTGCCCGATCTCTCTTTACAGATCAGCCCTCCATCGGCCGCAGATAATCAATATCACCAAGCTGATATTGGATTATCAAGAAAAGCACTTTACAGTGCAGATAGAAGCTCCACCACCGACTCCGGCAGCAGTGGAAGTGATTTGAGCCATGAAAATGGCTTCTACCACCTTGAGAGGAGCACCGGCTATAATCTTTCTTCGGGTGATGAGCCCAAGTTGAGTTTAGGGTTTGAAATGAAAGATCACATGAACCTTCCTCCTGTCCAGCTGCCCAGAAACTTCAGCAACCATCACTTCCATCACCACCCTCAAATCTATGGCCGCGAGTTCAAGAGAAGCGCAAGAACGGTTGGTAATGTGAAAAGAAGCATCAGAGCTCCGAGAATGAGGTGGACTACAACCCTCCATGCCCATTTCGTACATGCAGTCCAGCTTCTTGGAGGCCATGAAAGTAATATATATATATACAAATCTTTTTTCACAACATCTTTCCACTGATGAAGCAATTTGTTAATTCCTATTTCTTATGTCAATTAAATTAATTGTGACTGCAGGAGCAACACCAAAATCTGTTTTAGAGTTGATGAATGTCAAGGATCTAACCCTTGCTCACGTGAAGAGTCACTTGCAGGTGGGTTTACTGCTCACTCATGCTGTTCAATCTTCTCTTATTTGTTTGATTTTCAATCAAATATATGAATAATAATAGTAAATATTGGTTTTCTTTCTAGTTTTTCAAACTTTTCAGAGAGTAGTTATCAAATGTACTTTTTCTTAACATGTTGTGTATTTTCCAAATATTGGTATGATTTATTTGTAGTGGGGGGTAAAGAACAAAGGGGTAATGACAAAAAGGCATCTAGAGGGGGGGTAATCGCAGCAAATGTGGACCTCTCTCTCATATTTTTTTCGTTTGGGTGTTTTCTCATGCAGATGTATAGAACAGTGAAGAGCACTGACAGTAAGGGAACAGGTAATTGGATGTTCGATCCCCCCTCTCCCCTCTCTCTCTCATCTCCAAGGACCCCATGTTTTCATTTATCTTTTCCATTATTCTCTTTGTTTGGGAGCTCGGGTGATCTAAGTGGGGCAGGCAGACTCTATCATTTGTTCCACTGTGCCGTCCCAACTAAAACAAAAATGTGGTTGAGATAATTTCATTTCTAGTCCATGTGATGTGAATTATGTGCTGGGTGTCTGATAAAGCCAGAGCAATGGCTCTATCTCTTATAAATGTTGCAGGTCATGAAGGCCAGACAGATATGGGCTTGAACCAGAAGCCAGGGATCAATGGAGGGTTATCTTCTGACAAAGCTAATAGGTGAGTGCATTTGCAGCCTCTCTTCCCTAATAATCTTAATTTAATAAATGGCATCAAAATTAAATAATGCAAACATATTTACATGCACGAATATTTACAAGGGCTTTGGAGATTTGGACCTATTTTTTGGTCCAACATGGTGTCTGTCTTTGTTAATGGTGCAGAGAAATTACTATTGACGTCTTAAAGCACATTGATTTTGATGAACATTGGAGTTAATTAGCTAGGGTTTGTATGAAGGTTATCCGTTGGATTGTGAACTTAGGTTGAGATGATCCCAATGTGTCCCCAAAGTCAAGGGGATTTATTACAAATCTCAAGGATTTTTGTAATCCGACGGATATGCTCTTTGATGCAAATCACAAAGGAAGCGAAGACCCCAGCTAGCTTATTAGGTAGGATAGATCATAGGCAGGCATGTCTAAATCTTCTTGCCCGATCGATGCATTTTGTTGACTCCATTATGTATGGCAGTGAGCAATAATGTTTTCGTACTGGACGACTGACTTCTGCTTCTACAGAATTTAAGTTTCTAAATCTCTATTGCCGGTTACATTTAAAGAAGCAAACAATGTTTATTTGCTGTCGGCGTTTATTTAATAATTTCATCTGAACGGATTTGTTCTAAGAGCTCCACCAGTTTCAATCCAAATCTCCCACTGGATGGAGTTTTATCTATGTTTTATTGAGCCTGTTCAAGCTTTTGATGATCTCTTGCTAATTTTGTGAACAGAGGTTCGTGGCCTTCTTCATCGGAGACAAATGGCAGCTGTAACTTGAGTCCTGGAAATGCCTTGACATATTCTCATTCCCCGCAATCAAATGGCACCAAGGTAACATATATATATATATATATTTGTAAATTATATTATGATTCTATAAGAAAAGTGTGCGCATTATTGTCCTTGTGAACAATAGTTGATTTGATATAGGTGGAAGAAGAAGAATCAGGCCGCCATGTGTGTAATGATGGCATTGGCACGAAGGAGAGGAGGACGACTTTGGACTGTAGCTCCTTGTCAGCTTCGGATATGTACCTTAACTTAGAGTTCACGCTTGGAAGACCAACTGCCGAATGGACTGTGCTCAATAGCCTCAACCTTCAAATGACTTAACCCTAGCTACCTACCTACCTACCTACCTACCTACCTACCTAAGCTTCCCAAGTGTTAACTAAATTACTAGATCGAGTTAATTACATATCTTTTCATCTTAATTTTTAGGCGGACGTCCAGAAAATTACTAGATCACTTGTGTAATTGTTGGTTCCATATGTTTCTGCGAATTTTGTTTTTTTGTTTTTATACCAGAAATTAAACGGGGAGGGCAATGCATGGTATAATTATACCGTATTTACATGGAAATTTGTTATGCATGAATATTAAATGGACTGTTAACACTATTTAGTTTCTGATACACTGTTTTTATTTTTAACCCTTTCATCAAGTTGAAAAAATAAAAAAATAAGAAGAAAAAAAATCATGGACTGGGCCTGGAATATGATTGAACTTGGGCCTTGGACGTCAATGATGTTGTGGCCATACATCATATACTCACAAAAAAAAAAAAAAAAAAAAAAGAGAGTCAGAAATGAGTTGCAGATGGAGTTAGTCAAATGGCAAAGTGAGAGTTGTGGTTCTGTTCATGATGACTACTTGTCTTTTGCTCAGAGAAATTGCTTGGAGTTAGGACACATAGGAACAGAGATATAGATGATTTCTGGAGTGAGCACCAACAACACCAGAGGTCAGACAATTATTCGCATTCTTCATCATTGCACTTTCAGCACGTCTTAGCAATATCACGGGCAAACAAACACTAGTCTATAATCTATCTCAGTAACTTTTTCTCTGTTGGGAATTTGGCTTACTAGTTTTAGATTTCCATATTCATTTTTTTGAATTGAATTTGGGTCACGCTGTGACAGGACCAAAAATTCAGCATGCAAAAATTGCTGAGGTCAGCAAACCCCAAAGGTCCAGTTAATCTTCCACCAACCACCAAAAAAAAACAAAGAGTTGTTTGGGGCTGTTGGCAAGACTTGCATGCCCCTTGCCTTGGGCTTTGGCATGTCTCATGCTGCCTAACCCACTGACCAAGTAAACTACTTGCATATAAATCAACCGGGATATTCCATTAATTCATATTAACTTTCTCTAATCATGAATCTTTCTTTCCAATTAATTATCATCAGTGTGTTTTTTTCTCTTATTTTTCTCCTTCGTGCTTTTGTTCGAAAAGCTGCTGTTGTAGGTTCCAAGTCTAGAGAGGCCCCTGAACCTGCTGGTGCATGGCCAATTATAGGCCACCTCCACCTTCTAGGTGGCGGAGACCAGCTTCTCTACCGTACGCTTGGAGCAATGGCTGACAAGTACGGCTCAGCTTTCAACATCAGGCTAGGTAGCCGCCGTGCTTTTGTGGTGAGCAGCTGGGAAGTAGCGAAAGAGTGCTTCACAGTCAATGACAAGGCACTTGCTTCTCGACCCACCACGGTGGCTGCCAAACACATGGGCTACAACTATGCCGTGTTTGGCTTCGCACCCTACAGCCCATTTTGGCGTGAGATGAGGAAGATTGCAACCCTTGAGCTTCTCTCAAACCGAAGGCTTGAGATGCTCAAACATGTCAGGACATCAGAACTTGATACGGGGATAAAAGAGCTACAAAATTTATGGGTCCAAAATGGCTCGTCACGTCCTGTGGTTGTTGAGCTCAATCGTTGGCTAGAGGAATTGACACTTAATGTTGTGGTCAGGATGGTGGCTGGGAAACGTTACTTTGGTGCCTCAGCAAAATGTGACAATGGCGATGAGGCGAGGCGGTGTCAGAAGGCAATTGGTCAGTTTTTTCATCTGATTGGGATTTTTGTTGTTTCGGATGCGCTGCCGTTTCTATGGTGGTTGGATTTGCAGGGGCATGAGAAGGCAATGAAGAAGACGGCTAAAGACTTGGATGCCATACTCGGAGGGTGGCTGGAGGAGCATCGGCAAAGGAGAGTACTTTCTCGTGACAAAGGGAAGACTGAAGCTGATGAGGACTTCATTGATGTCATGTTGTCTCTTCAGGAGGACGGACAACTCTCAAATTTTCAGCATAGTTCAGATACCAGCATCAAGTCCACCTGCCTGGTATGTTTTTTTAAACCATGAATTTTTTTTGGACAAGTCTCAAATTACTTACCATGAATCAGGAACTTACTACGGATTTGAACGTACATAATTTTTGACTCGTTATGTGCTAGTAAACATAAGCGATTCCAATAGGAAAGTGTTGAAGAAATTGAAATCATTCTAATATCCGTTCCTGATATTGGAATTGCAGGCGATTATCCTTGGTGGGAGTGACACCACAGCAGGCACTCTAACATGGGCAATCTCACTACTCTTGAACAATCCCCATGTGATGAAGAAGGCACAAGAAGAGTTAGAGCTCCAAGTTGGAACAGAAAGGCAAGTTGACGAATCAGACATCAAAAACTTGGTATATCTTCAAGCCATCATCAAGGAAACGCTGCGTTTATACCCAGCCGGGCCTCTCTTAGGACCAAGAGAAGCTCTAGAAGACTGCACCGTAGCCGGCTACCATGTCCCGGCAGGCACCAGATTGGTGGTAAACGTATGGAAGATTCAAAGGGACCCAAGTGTTTGGGAAAACCCATCTGCTTTTGAACCAGAGAGGTTCTTGACAAGCCATGGCCATGTTGATGTTAGAGGCCAACAGTTTGAGCTGATGCCATTTGGCTCTGGCAGAAGGTCGTGCCCTGGTGTCTCGTTTGCCATGCAAGTCCTTCACCTCACGCTTGCTCGTCTGCTTCATGCATTTGAGTTTGAAACCCCACTTGGTCAACGGATTGACATGACTGAGAGTCCAGGTTTGACCATTCCGAAAGCGACTCCATTAGAGGTTCTGCTCACCCCACGCCTTCCTGGTAATCTCTATCTGTGATGAAGCGTTTGAATAAAGAATAAAAATGTACTGTTTGTTGATTAATTTAGAGGTTCTTCAAATGTATTATTTACATTGAAAAATAAAAATAAATGAAATACAAGTATATGTAAGCTAAGATTATGAGGCCCATTTATGTTGTGAGAGTTTGATTATATCTGGACCCATCCGACATTGCAGCCCATAAGATTCAATCTAGAAAGAAATCTTCACCAAAAGGAAATAGAAATGGATTATAATTGGGTCCAATCATCATGCTATGCAGCGCGGCCCAGCGGCCGAAATTTAAACATCTCACTTAAAAAAACAAAGATATGATTGAGATTCTACTATTCAACAAAAGAAAATTACGAATTTGTCATATATAAAAAAGGGCCAATTTAGCTATTTTTATGCCGTTCAAGTCTTTAATTTACAAGGAAAAAAAAAAGGCAGGATATATGACTGCTTAATATTAGGTTGATGTTATCTTCTGGAAAAAAAAAAAAAACACAGCATCAGATAAGTTTAAATACTATGCATAGCTAATATGAATCCTTTTCAAAACAACTTGGATGTCGTAAATAAACTAAAATGTATTGGAATATAAAGCTGCATATAAAGTAAATAAAATAAAATATGTAACGAGGCTCGACAAGTTGTGTCTACGTGCTTAGAAAGCAACATCAATGACATTTTCCCCCATGAAAAAGGCTTTGAAGGAATGCATGGAAGGAATCGGCAGACAAGCATCCAACATAATCTTCTTATTTTCCTTGTGAGCTCCACCTCCACCCACTAGCTTGACAACATTGATTGGACACATTTTTAGTGTCAAACGGATGAAAAATAATTATCAATCATAAGGATATTTTTTTTGGTCGAATCTCAATCATGAAGGTTATTTCATCACCTCGGTGAAAAGGTAAGCTTGGGCTCAGACTTTACGGTTCGACGCCCCTAGCAATAGAAATGGAAATATTTCAACCATGGTATACTTTTCCTAATTGGAGCGATGACGTTTCTTGTCTGATTAGAATTTTTCTTCATACAACTTCGCAGTTTTGCTTTCTAGGCAACAATTATTATATTGAAAGTCAAAAGTATATCTTAAAATATTAATTATCTTATAGAAAATAATCCTCCACCATTGGTCCTGCATCAATTATCATGTCCCAAGAAGTAAATACTTGAGATATCGAGTTTGCAATAATGGATAGCTACCCTCAAGTCAACCTTCCCTTCTGCAACAATGGAGTTGAATCTCCCATGCCTAAACACTGCCATAGCTGGAATCTTAGCCATACTTCTGTTTTCCTACTTTATCATAAAGAGATCATGCTCTGGTGCCAAAGCCAAGGGTCCCAAACCACCAAAAGTGGGAGGTGGGTGGCCTCTGTTAGGTCATCTCTACCTATTCGGAGGATCTCAGCTGCCTCACATAACTTTGGCTTCCTTGGTTGACAAATATGGACCAATCTTCACCGTCAACGTTGGCATCCACTCTTCTCTGGTGATAAGTACTTGGGAGGCGGCCAAAGATTGCTTCACCACAAACGATAAAGTGGTTTCCTCCAGTCTCGCTACGCTAGGGGGTAAGTACTTGAGCTACAACTTTGCCATGTTTGGGTTTAGCCCCTATGGTCCATACTGGCGTGAAATGTGCAAACTGACATCGCTCGAGCTACTCTCAAGACGCAGGCTCGAGCTACTGAGAAACGTTTGAGCATGTGAATTAGAGATAAGCTTAAAGCAGCTGTTCACTCTATGAAGCAAGAGAAAAGAAGGGTATGGGGAGCTTTTGGTGGAGATGAAGCAGTGGTTTGGAGGTTTGACTCTAAATGTGGTTTTTACGATGGTTGCTGGAAAGAGATGTTTTATGAATGGGGGTTTGAGTGAGGAGGAGGCAAGGCGGAGGCAAAAAGCCATGAGGGAGTTCTTTCATTGGGTGGGATTGTTTGTGTTGGGAGATGCTGTTCCTTGGCTTAGTTGGTTGGATTTGGGTGGACAACAGAAGGCCATGAAGAGAACTGCCGAAGAACTGGACAGTATTGTTTTGGAATGGTTGGAGGAGCACAAGCAGAAAATAACTAAAGGAAAAGATCAAGATTTCATGGATGTCATGCTTTCAGCCATCGATGGAGCAGATATTGCTGGCTTTGATGCTGATACCATTATCAAAGCAACATGTTTGGTACATATATAAATATGTTTTTTTTTACTACAACGATCTTTGTCCGTCTTATTAAACTCAGCGCCTCATTCAACGGAGTGGAGACTGGATGTTGCTAAACCAAATGGTCATAGGATAAATTTATTTTATTAATCACAAAAATTTTGATTATGCAGGCTATGATTTCTGGAGGGAGTGACACAACCAGGGTGACCCTGACGTGGACACTCTCTTTGCTTTTGAACAACTGCCAAAGTTTGAAGAAAGTTTATGAAGAACTTGATCAGCATGTTGGCAAAGGAAGACAGCTAAATGAGTCAGATATAAATAATCTGGTGTACCTGCAGGCCACTGTTAAAGAAGCAATGCGTTTATGCCCACCTGGACCACTCTCATTCCAAAGGGAATTCACAGAGGACTGTACTGTAGGAGGGTACCATGTTCCAAAAGGCACGTGGCTGTTAGTGAACTTTGTGGAAGATCCAAACTGACCCACGGGTTTGGGCCGACCCGATGGAGTTCAAGCCAGAGAGATTTCTGACCACCCATAAGGATGTTGATGTTCGGGGTCAGCAATTTGAGCTGATGCCGTTTGGTAGTGGTAGAAGAGCATGCCCTGGGATAAATCTTGGCCTTCAAACAACGCTTTTAACTTTGGCTAGTTTTCTTCATTGGTTTGATGTCACGAACCGAGGAAATGCATCAGTTGATATGACCGGAAGCGCTGGATTTACGAATATGAAACTCACTCCTCTTGATGTCCTCGTTAAACCACGCTTGTCTCCAAATCTTTATGAATAAGTTCAGAATTGAGAACTTAGGTATACATATGAAAATAAATGCTACGATATGAAAAGTACATATGCATATGTTCATGTTCTGAATGTATTAATCTAAAAAGTTTGGCTTTACTAAATCTATCTTCTACTTATACCCAATGAGCTTGATGCGTTTCCTCTAGTTTTGACAAATGGGTTCCACTTTTAAGTTAACATACATGCACGATCGAAATAGTAATAGATGAACAAGAAGAAAATTAATCAAGAGAGAACAAGACAGGACCAGCCTTCCCATGGCAAAACATATAGCGCTAGGGAAAGCTGATTGATAATTTAATTGCCGAGCTCAAGAAAGGCAAAAGTGAAAGTGCTTATTACAAAAGCAATTTTGGCAGGATATAGGACTGCTTAATATTAGGTTGATGTTATCTTCTGGAGAAATGAAAAAAAAACAGAGTCTCGGATAAGTTTAAATATATATTTTTTTTGTTCAAAAGGAGATAAGTTTAAATACTTTTTTTTTGGTGAAAGGAGATAAGAAGTATTAAACGGTGCAAAAGATAATCTTCAATCATGAAGGTTATTTCCTCACCTCAGGGGTACTTTTCCCAATTGCAGCGATGACGTCAACTTCGATTAAAATAACCCATTTTCTTGTCTGATCAGAATTTTCCAAAGTAGTGACAGCAAATTCGCAGTTTGCTTCCTACGCATCAATTATTATATTGAAATGAGTCAAATGTATTTCTGAAAATACGAATTATCTTATAGAAAATAATCCTCATTGGCCCTCTTTCAAAACAAACTTATGAACGCTGACCTGAATGTCCCACGAAGAAAAAACACTGATATCGACTATAAATAAGAACTACTGCATGAATGACAGCTCCCCTCAACCTTCCCTCTGCAACAATGGAGTTGTATCTCCCATGCCTAAACACTGCCATAGCTGGAATCCTAGCCATACTTTTATTTTCTTACTTTATCATAAAGAGATCAAGCTCAGCTGCCAAAGCCAAGGGTCCTAAACTACCAAAAGTTGCAGGCGGGTGGCCTCTGTTAGGTCATCTTGGCCTATTCGGAGGATCACAGCTTCCTCACATAGCTTTGGCTTCCTTGGTTGACAAGTATGGACCAGCCTTCACCATCAACATTGGTATCCACTCTGCTCTGGTGATAAGTACTTGGGAGGTGGCCAAGGACTGCTTCACCACAAACGACATGGTTGTTTCCTCCCGTCCGGCTACGCTAGGAGCTAAGCACTTGGGCTACAACTTTGCCATGTTCGGGTTTTCCCCCTACGGTCCATACTGGCGTGAAATGCGCAAGCTCACATCCCTCGAGCTACTCTCAAACCGCAGGCTCGAGCTACTGAAAAAAGTTCGAGTATCAGAAGTGGAGATGAGTTTGAAAGAGCTGTACACTTTATGGATCAAAAGAAAAGAAAGCTCGGGGGAGCGTTTAGTGGAGATGAAGCGGTGGTTTGGGGATTTGACTCTAAATGTGATTTTTAGGATGGTTGCTGGCAAGAGATGCTTTATGAATGGGAATTTGAGTGAGGAGAAGGAGGCAAGGCGGTGGCAAAAAGCCATGAGAGAGTTCTTTCATTTGGCTGGATTGTTTGTGTTGGGAGATGCTGTTCCTTGGCTTAGTTGGTTGGATTTGGGTGGACAGCAGAAGGCCATGAAGAAAAATGCCAAAGAATTGGACAGTATTGTTGCGGAATGGTTGGAGGAGCACAAGCAGAAAATAACTGAAGGAAAAGATCAAGATTTCATGGATGTGATGCTTTCAGCCATCAATGGAACAGATGTTGCTGGCTTCGATGCTGATACCGTCATCAAAGCAACATGTTTGGTATATATGTTAATTTATTTTAATTTTTACTACAACGACCTTTGTCCGTCATATTTCAACTTAGCACCTGGTCCAACAAAGTCGATACTGGATGCTGCTTAACCAAATGGTCATTGGCTAAATTTGTTTTAATAATCACCAAAATTTTGATTGTGCAGATTTTGATTGCTGGAGGAAGTGACACAACCATGGTGACCCTGACCTGGGCACTCTCTTTGCTTTTGAACAACCGCCAAGTTTTGAAGAAAATTTATGAAGAACTTGATCAGTATGTTGGCAAAGGAAGGCTGCTGGAGGAGTCAGATATAAATAATCTGGTGTACCTGCAGGCCACTGTTAAAGAAGCAATGCGTTTATGCCCAGCTGGACCACTCTCAGGCCAGAGGGAGTTCACAGAAGACTGTACCATAGGAGGGTACCATGTTCCAAAAGGCACGTGGCTGCTAGTGAACCTGTGGAAGATCCAAACTGATCCACGGGTTTGGGCCGACCCGATGGAGTTCAAGCCAGAGAGATTTCTTACTACCCATAAGGATGTTGATGTTCGGGGTCAGCAATTTGAGCTCATGCCGTTTGGTAGTGGTAGAAGAGCATGCCCTGGGATAAGTTTTGGCCTTCAGATGACACTTTTAACTTTGGCTAGTTTTCTTCATTCGGGGGGAATTTGAGGCGGGTCCTTTCACGCCATGTGTACTTGTGAGAAGTCTCCAATGGAGCGTGGTTTCCAGTCATGATTGGCAGGCCAAGGTGCCGAATGCTCACAATCTGTCAATGATATTTTGTGGAACATAATAGATTGCCTATATTTAATAGGTCCTTTGTAGATCTCCAATCCAATATGTCATTCTCTAATTAGCCGGTCAGATATGATATAGACATCATACATGAGTATAATCTTATCTTTATTTATTTTTTTGTGGACAAAATCTTATCTTACTGGATGGTCTCAATCTTCACAAAATGAGATGCCACAATGTTATTCTTGGAAAGGAATTGACTACTAGAAGTTGTGTGCGGGAAATAATAAATTTATCGATTTTTGAGCAATGGTCTGTGTCTCGTAGCAGTAGCAAACAAATTAGATACATAGTTTTCCATGTGAGGCTGCCCCACCACCCTCCATTACCAATTTACCATCACCATGCAAGCGTATGGAAATGAAGCAGGTAAAGTTGGGAAGCAGACATCGCCCCTTTAACCAGCGAAAATCTTTTTTTTTTTAGCTGCCGATAAGTTGAACCAATAAAATTAAGTTGCAAAATGGAAAATATCTCCGTGTTTATCAAAATTCAACCCATTCGTGAGTCCAAATTAATGACATTAGGGTCCTTCCAATTATAACAAATACAATTATAAATTTATATAACCAGGAATTTCTCTCGTTCTTCAAATCATGCAACTTACTTTGGGTTTGAAATCGAAACAAAAGATGATTAACCGGTTAACATGTGTGAGGCTTTTCGACACAAACCAATAACAAGGTAACTCCACCCATTGGATACTTTTTTGATCACTCAGAATCAGAGATAAGGAAATTGTATCTTAATTATTAACTGCTGCTGAAGCTTAATATTAATCATATTAAATTCTATTGATAATTAATATTAAGCTTTAGAGAGATATACCCCAATAAAAAAAATCTGTTTGATTGTTCAATAATTATACATGTCTGCCACGTGGCGTTGAAGTTTGAAGTTACTTTTGACGTGACCAATGCATTACTTCCTTGGCGTAGAATTTTATCTATAAAAATAATATTATGTTATATCCTCATGAGGTGGTATCCATATATATGAGCATAGATATCACGCCTATATAATATGCGCGACGGGCTTTCATTCTCTTAGCTTTCTAAGTTTCCAATTACCAATTAGTTTTCAATGGATTATTCTCTCCCTTATGTAAACTCTATCACTGCTTTTTTATTTACAATCATCATCGTTTCCTATTACTTCTCACGCAGATGGAGACCTGCCAAATTAGCCCCAACCGAAGCCAAGGGTGCATGGCCGATATTTGGCCACCTTCCCTTGCTAGGAGGATCCACACCTCCTCACATCAAATTGGCAGCCATGGCTGACAAGTACGGGCCTCTCTTCACCATCCGCCTCGGCGTCTATCCATCTCTGGTGATAAGCAGCAGTGAGATCGCAAAAGAATGCTTCACAACCAATGATTTGGCCTCAAGCTCGCGTCCAAAGCTCGTGGTTGTGGAACACGTTGGCTATAACCACGCCATGTTTGGGTTTGCACCCTCCGGACCCTTCTGGCGAGAGATGCGCAAGATTACCACCTTGAAGCTGCTCTCGAACCGAAGGCTTGAGCTGCTCAGACACATTCGAGTCTCTGAAGTGACAACTTTCTTGCAAGAATTGTACAAAACTTGGAGCACCGCGGAGAAGAGGGAGAGCAATAATAGAGACGGGGTTTTGGTGGAGTTGAAGCAGTGGTTTGGGGACATGACCTTGAACGTGATTCTTAGAATGGTGGCCGGAAAGCGTTATTCGGTTGCGGCCGATGAGGATGAGAAGACAGAAGCACGTAGGGTTCAGAGTGCATTGAAGTTGTTTTTTTATTATGTGGGGCTGTTTGTGTTGGGTGATGCGGTGCCTTATCTTCGGTGGTTGGACTTGGGTGGGCATGAGAAGGCGATGAAGAAGATTGCCAAAGAACTGGACGCCATCGTTGGAGGGTGGGTTGAAGAGCACAAGAGAAGGAGGGCAAGAGGTGATGCTAAAGGGGAACCAGACTTCATAGACGCCATGCTTTCTGTGCTTGATGGTGCAGACCTAGGCGGTTTTGATGCTGACACAGTCAACAAAGCCACAAGCTTGGTAATCAAACATATGCCTAGCTTAATCTATATAATTTAGCTTTATATAAATAATTAATCAAATAAATTGTACTTTTGCAGAATATGATTGCAGGAGCTAGCGATACGACCATGGTCACATTAACATGGGCAATATCACTATTATTGAACAACCCTCACATGCTTAAAAGAGCTCAAACCGAACTGGACACTGAAATAGGCAGACAAAGAGTTGTGAGTGAGTCAGATATAAGCAAGCTGGTCTACATCCAAGCCATAGTGAAAGAGACGCTGCGTTTGTACCCTGCAGCACCATTATCTGGACCACGAGAGTTCACCAAGGACTGCACCATAGGCGGCTACCATGTCTCAAAGGGCACCCGGTTGATCACGAACCTTTGGAAGATCCAAACCGACCCGAGAATATGGCCCGATCCATTGGAATTCAAGCCGGAGAGGTTTCTGACCACCCAGAAGGATGTTGATGTTAAGGGATTGCACTTTGAGTTAATTCCGTTTGGAAGTGGGAGAAGAGCATGCCCTGGCTTGGCATTTGCCCTTCAAATGGTGCAATTTACTTTGGCTAGTTTTGTGCATGCGTTTGAAATCTCCAACCCCTTGAGTGCACCGATTGATATGACTGAGAGCTTTGGACTGACAAACGTCAAGGCGACCCCTCTTCAGGTTCTCATCAAACCTCGTTTGCCCTCTCAACTTTATGGATAAAATGATAAAACAAGGATTTTTATTTAATTAATGTATGTATTTACTCTCAACGTTGCTATCCTAAATTATAGTTCGTAGTTATATATATATATATATATATATTTTCTTCTTCAATATAATGTTGTTTGTCCCTGTATTGTTGGTCTCTTAATCATAGGTGATTAGGTAGATAATCAAGCCCAAGTAGCTATTATTTTAAATTAGAGCACAAACTGCAGAGAATATTCATACTACACTCTAATCAATGTAGCACCCACGATCAGCAGCCACGTCAACCATATTCTGCTTGATTTCCCATGAAGAACTAATACTAATACAATGTAGCTGTTGTGAGTAGCAATTAGATTGAACGAAAAAAACCAGTAAGGAGCACCACATCACTGTAAGCGACTGCCTAAAGTTAAATACAAGTAAACAGAGGGAGGTTCACGGAAAATATCAACGCTTCACGGAAAATATCAATGCTTCACATATCAACGCTTCACGGAAAATATGCTTCTCATGAATCTGCATTTTGCAGCAATTGATAACACTAAAGAGAGAGTGTGTTGACACAATAGGACTTTTTAACAAAGCCACAACAGAAGTAGCATCACACTCAATCTCTACTCTGCGAAATCCAACATCCCAAGCCATATTAAACCCCCAAAAAATCCCCCATAACTCAGCCTCAATGATGGAACCATAGCCTAGATTCACATAGAAACCCTTGATCCAACTCCCACAAGACTCTTAAAAAACTCCCAGCCCCAATAAGACCAGAGGAATTAATTCTGCTACCATCAGTGTTGACTTTACAAACACCAGGAAGAGGGGCCATCCAATGGAGATGAACAACACTACGCTCAGGGAGAAAAGCCATTGGATTGCAAGCTGAAAACCACTCCAAAGCACACTGATAAATCATCAAATGAGGTTCAACAGGCAAGAGAAAATTGTGATCAAAAACCACTTTACATCTCCATTTCCAAATAAACCAGAGAAAGATAGCAAAAACCAAATACCAGGGCAGGCCATGGACAACAAACCTCTTACAATATTTTCTTATTTAATTTTGCTAAATATACTACTATATTGAAAAACATTCATTGTTTATGCTTTTTTTACATTCTAGTACTTTTCAATCTTCATGTTCTAAAATTGCTTTCCCATTAAATTACCATATATATTTTTAGATCTTTAAAATATAAATTTATTTTCTCATTTTTATTTTCTAATAGCACTGTACATAAAATTTTCAAAAAACGTTAGCTTTACTTTTTTTGGGTGAAATGACGTGTTCAACACCCAGAACTACAACTACTTCCGACAAAAAGTAGCTCGCTGGAAATATACAAGCAATTCTGATAATACCAAAATGCGCCCTCGAAACTAGTTGATTATTATCGAGAAGAACTAGTTCCCATTGGAAATAACTGACTATTTCCGAGGGCATAATCAACCCCTTAGAAATAACCATGGCATTTCCGACAACAATGACTTTTATTCGTAATACAACGAGCGCCAAAGGCTTCCCGCAAAAAAAAAAGAAAAAAAAAAGTGTATTTCAGACATACTTTGAGACTTTTTTTTTTGATACTATCACTGTCGGAAATAAAATGCATCATGGTGACATACTTCTGATGGTCCACATTTTTTAGTTAGAAAAAACACATTTTTTCAATCATATATCACACGCCACTAGGAAAAATTGGAAAGGTCTTAAAATCTTCAATCTTCCACAACAGTGTAGTTCTGACGGGATTTCAACTTAGGCTGTCTTGACTTGCAAGTATAGAGCAATTGGTTTGGTAGAAAATTATGAAACTTTGAAACAATGATCTTCAATGTCTTAACTTTCATCTCCAGTTGGCTGTGCTAAAATTCATTCAAAAAGTCTATTTTCAGGCGAAATCCTTCCAAGAGCGCAGAATAACTGAAAATAAGGAAAGTAAGGTAATAATGCTCTTTTTAATTAATTTTTCCTAAAAAAACCAAATATAAAAGGTTTAAAAATATAGGAAATAATGCACTTATCAAACTACCTCAAACCTATCTTTTGCTAGTCCTCGAGCAAAATTAGAAAGAAAAAAAGAACCAAAACAGAAACTAACTAAACCACTTTCGCAGGTAAACTCGATGGCACTTAGCATGTGCCACAAGCCGTTAAACCTCTAGGTGTCCCTAGTAGGAGGAGTTGTGTCTCCTGAGGGTTTACCAGTCACTATACTCACAAACTTTTTACTACAAAACAAAGTTGTTAAAGGCACCACTTTAAACAAGCTAAAAAAAACCAATGCATGTCAATCATATTTGCATCACTAAAGCTATGCCACTTTGAGTACGTTGCATCTTGGTGTAACGTGTAATACCAAAAGTCATAACATCAAAGCTTAAATACAACCACACCCAAACGCCATGAAATTATTTCGCCTTGACTCTAATCCTCACTGGATATCATTCTATAATTTTTCTCTCCAAATCCTAGGCTTACACTCAAATGTCACATATGTGTATGAAGTTATGTAATGGAAATCAAAATTTTAACACATATGCTTAGCTTGAAGAATGGCAATTTCTGAAAATAATGTTTCATGAAAAGAATCAAATATTAAGAACTAGAGTACATACCTCATCTCCAAGCAAGATTTTCCAAAAGATCAGTTAGGTCTTCTACTTAGATTATAATGAAATGCTAGGCTCGAGTTAAGAAAGAAAGGAAATGAATTACAAAAACTTAGGACATACCAAAGCATTATTCATGATCACATACACGGTCCGCTTCTTTTGAACATTTTGTAATACTTATCGCCCAGGAATGGTGCATCTTTCCTATTCTGTTTGAAGTAATTTAATTTGACCTTTTATTCTTTTGAATTGCAAAATACTTTTCTTTTCTTTTCTTCAATATTTTTTTTCTTTTTGCAATTTTACACAAACACCTTGGTACACGCCAATTCTTTGGTGTAGAACTCAACTTTCTTATTTTCATCACTTTGGCACATCCTAAGCTATAAGGTATGGCTTAGAAACAGGTTATATAGGTTAAAGATAATAAGGGTAAGAAAGGTTAAATGTTTGGTTACAAAGGGGTTGATGACACACACAAAAGGGTAGGGTGAAAGGTCTTTTAGTGGGTGAAAACATGCATAGCCTAACATCATCTCTTTAATGATCCATCTAACTTGGAAGTGACGTACCTACAAAAATAAGAAAATTCTTTAGTATCCAATACAAACTTAATGAGAGTAACCTAATTAAGAACAAAATCGAAGAGCGTTTAAGAGTAGAAACAATAAAACCCCTCTCAAAATGGCTTTTGGCTCAATATCTCACAAGGGTAGTCACCAAAACATTATGAGTATGGCATTGTGAAATGTAAAGATTATAATGCAATAACCATTCATGGCAACACGTTAGTAAAGCATTCATGATCAAAACGTGGCATACACATTTCTATTAGCAAGAAAAAGTAATAGCTTTAACTAGAATTCACATTTCGGAAAAACTGCTTCTTTTCAATTTCGACCTCAGATCAATTTTCAACAATTAACTCTTAAAGTACTGCATGGATTTTGACAAGCCTTATATGCCAAGAAAATAGACAAACAAACACACAACTTTTCTTTAGACAAAATACCCAAAAAAAAAAACATATTAAAACGGCATGAAAACTGACGTTAAAGACAGAAAACAGTACAGAATAATTGCAGAAAAATTCTAGTTCCAAACCCTTGTTCAGAAAAACAGCTGTGACTTCCAAACGAAAAGTTAGAAAATGATCCTTTTATGGTTGGATTCCGCACGAAGAACTGAAGAAGGCAACATGGGCCAAATCTTTAAATACATTACAGATGAAAACATTTTCAATGAAACATAAACACTAATGTTTTGCACAACTCGAAAAAGACTAAAAAGGATAAAATAAAATAAAATAAAACGACTGTTACCCACCTCAAACCTAAACCAAATATTGCTTTCAATGTTTAAAAAAAAATATATATATATATAAGGAAGGACAAAGAATAGTAAAAGCAATGAACGCGGGGAACACACAACCAAAAATTAAAAAGATAAGGAACGAAGGTACCTAGTTGGGTTGCCTCGCAACAAACACTTAGTTCAGAGTCAATAGCCTAACTTTCAAATATGTTATTTGGGATTATTGAGGAGGACGTTGGTCTCATCCTAAAAAATGCGGATGCCACATGTGGTTTCAATAGATGGCCTTTGACTTTGAAGGTTGTATTGTCATGATCATTCTTGATATGCTTGTCATGCCACTTCTTTGTATGGTCCTCGTAAATTCTCGCACTCTCATATGATTTATTCTGAAGTTCTTCTAACTCATTCCTTCCTGGGTCGTATGGTTTTGGTTCATCCAAGTATAAGGTAGGTTCAGCAACCCTTGGTTTTTTTGCTTTGGAGGTGGAGGAATGTACCAATGGATGGCTCGAAGTCTCATTTTCATTCGCTTTTCCATGAAATGTTATTGGTTTAAAAACTTTGAATGTCGCTTTTTCATTCCCAACTCTCATAGTTAGTAACCCTTCTTCCACGTCAATAAGAGTTTTAGTCTAGTAAACAGGAATGGACTGTCCAAAATTAGATGTGTCTCAGTATGTTCTTCCATATCCAAAACCAGAAAATCAGCCAGAAATATGAGTGTATTGACCTTTACTAGAATATCTTCAATAATTCCATCAGGATATGTGATTAATTTGTCCGCCATCTGCAAAAAAAACAATAGTAGGTTTAATTTCACCAATACTAATTTTTTTAACAATAGATAAAGGTAGTAAATTAATGCTAGAACCCAAATCACATAAAGCTTTTTCAAAGAAATTATTTCCAATAGTGCATAGAATTTTGAAACTTCTTCTATCTTTTTTCTTTGGTGGAAGCTTCCATTGCAGGATGGCACTGCATTCCTCAGTCAGTTGGATTTTCTCATGATCACCAAATTTCTTTTTTTTTTTTTTTGGAAAGGAGGTTTTTCACGAATTTTGCATAACTTGGCATTTGTTCCAAAGCTACAACGAATGGAATGTTGATTTGTACCTTTTTGAATGTCTCCAATAAATTAGAAGATTGCCCATATTTTATTTTCCTTCAGTCTCTGCGGAAAAGGGATCGGTGGAATATATGGCTTCAATAGAGGAGAAGGAGTCGGTATAGCAGCATAATTTTTCTTCTTTTGGGGATTTCTCAACTTCTTCCTCTTTTTCTAAATTTTCTTTTTCCAAGTCGACTGCTGTATTCACTTGTTTTCCCAAAGTGTGATTGCCATTACTTGTTCTTGATTTTTCAGATTAATTTTGGGTTGACTTGACAATACTCCTTGATTTCTTCCACTCAATACATTAGCTAGTTGGCCTACTTGCACCTCCAAATTCCGAATAGAAGCATGCTGATTCTGAAATTGGGTTTTTATTTCAGTCAAAAATTGGGTGGTAGACATAGTCAACTGAGTAAGTGCATCTACCAAATTTATTTTCTTCTCTTGATGCGGAAAGCCAAGTGGTGGTATTTGCACATTCTGATTATTGCTCCATGAAAAATTTGGATGGTTCGCCAGCCGGGGTTGTACGTGTTGGAATAAGGATAATTCCTTTGTCAATTAGACTCTATAACTTGATTTACTCGCTCAGAGGACTCGAACGGGTTCCTTGTAGTGCACTTAGAACTTGGATGAGGGCCTACACAAATCGCAACCAAAATTAGTATTAGTGTTCACAACATTAACACTCAAAGATTCAACTTTTTTTGTAAGGTTAGAAATTTGTGTTGTTAACAAAGCCATAGCATCGATTTCCAAGACCCCAGCCGGCTTCAGATGCACTCTTTCACTCCGTCATTGGTAACTGTTGGAAGCCAGGGTCTCCAATAGTTCGAATGCTTTGGTAGTCGTTTTTGCCATTAAAGCACCTTCCGTTGCGGCATCAACTAATGTCCTGCTTGTTTGACTCAACCCATTGTAAAAAGTCTGAACTTGAATCCAGCTTAGTAGCTCATGGTGAAGACACTTATGCAATAAATCTTTGAATCGTTCCCATGCTTCATAAAGAGGCTACTTATCATACTAAATGAACGACATAATATCTTGTCAGAATTTTGCAATTTTGGTCGGAGGGATAAAATTTAGCAAGGAATTTCTTGGATGAATCATCCCAAGTACAGATGGAATCTTGTGGTTTTGACAGTAACCAAAGTTTGGCATTATCCTTTAAGGAGAAAGGGAATAGCCTTAAACGAATCGCATCATCAGTTACCCTATTGAACTTGGACGCATTACAAATTTCCAAAAATATCGTAAGATGTATATTTGGATCTTCATTAGGCATACGACAAAATATGGATGAATTTTGCAGCATGGTGATCATGGAGGGTTTAATCTCAAAATTGTTGGCTACTATAGCAGGACATCAGATCACTGAGGGAGTTGCCATTGGGATGGCAAATTCCCTCACTGCTCTTTTAGCTTCATCCGCCATAGATGGGGGGGTGTCGGAAAATTCCAATGTACTTGAAAATAAAACAGAAAAATTCAAACTAAACTCCGAATTAAAATATATTGATATTAATATAAAATAAAACAGTCCTTGGCAACAATGCCAAAAATTTGTTGTGAAATTATTGCAAGCATACAATCCGCAAAAGTAATATAGAGATAAGTGAAGTGTCGTTCCCACGAATGTAATTTCTCTTTAAGTATCAATTATGATTAATGCAGAAGTTTATTTGAACAGTTAATTAGGAAAATTGATTGATTTAATTAAACTAAAATAGTTATGAAAAATAACAACTTAATTAATGATGGAATATCAAGTTTGATAAGACATTAGAGCATCCGATTTCACCATAACCAATTCCAATTAATTCTTATTGCCAATTAACCTTAATTACTACCCATGTTGACAGTTGGTTTCTCCTAATTAATTCGATATCCCCTCTCGGGCTCAAGCAAAAGTATTCTTAATTAACAACCTATTCTTTCTTGAGCAACAAATTTAGAAAATTAAGAACCCATTAAGTTTTATGAGAACCTGTAAGAAAACTGCCTGAGTCATGTTAGTCTCTCTCGAGCACTCATTCAAGACATGATATTTGCTACATCATAGCCCTAGGAAGAGAAATTAATTCATGACAAAAGAAAAGATAAAAAAGAGGATTGTTGTCATAAGACCGATTTGGCAGATGAATTTGATCTCTGGATTCTCCACAACAACACTTTCGTAAGCTCTAAAAGCATCGCGGCAGCAACTCTTGGCTCTCTCTTTGATATATTTGTGGGTGTATTGAAATATGGTGAAAAGTCTGGTTGAAAAGATTAGAGTGACCTTACATAGTTTAAAACAACTAAACCCTACTCTAAAAAGGTCGGAAAAACTCTCCTAAAGCAAAACAAAATCCTAAACAATTAAGGAAACAAACTAGGAAAGAATCATTTTTTGACTTGGAAACACATCAGCAAAACTTGCACAGATTCAAATCTTCAATCTTCCACAGCAGTGCAGTTTTGACAGGATTTCAACTGAGGTTGTCTTTGCTTGCAAGTCTGGAGCATTTGGCTTGGTAGAAAATTATGAAAATTTGACATAATGATCTTCAATATCTTAACTTTCTTCTCCAATTGGCCTTGTGCTAAAATTCATTCGAAAAGTCGATTTTCAGTCGAAATCCTTCCAAGAAAGCAAAATAGCTGAAAATAAGGAAAGTAAGGTAATAATACTATTTTTAATTAACTTTTCCTACAAAAATCAAATATAAAAGGTATAAAAATATAGAAAATAATGCACTTATCAACATGGTATAAACATCATACATGTGTATAATCTTATCTTACTTGATGGTCCAACCTCTTGATATAAACCTACAAAATGAGATGGACAAATGCTATTCTTGGAAAGGAATAGTCTACTGGAAGTTCCGTACGGGAAATGAATTTGTCGATTTTTGAGCAACGGTCTATGTCTCGTAGCAGTAGCAAACAAATTAGATACATAGTTTTTCATGTGAGGTGCCCACCACCCTCCATTAGCAATTTACCATCATCATGCATGCGTATGGAAATGAAGCAGGTAAAGTTGGGAACCAGACATCGCCCATTTAACTAGTGAAAATCATTTTTTTGCTGCCGATAAGTTGAACCAATAAAATTAAGTTGCAAAATGGAAATGAAGCAGGTGAGTCCAAATTAATGACATTAGGATCCTTCCAAGTATAACAAATACAATGATATGACCAGGAATCTCTCTTGCTTTTCAAGTCATGCAACTTACTTTGGGTTTGAAATCAGAACAAAAGATGATTAATCATTTCATATGTGTGAGGCTTCTGGATACAAACCAATATAACAAGGCAACCCTGCCCACTGGAGATATAAATCTGCAAAATGACATGGACGGATGTTAAGCTGGGATAAGAATTGAATTTTCAACCGCAGCCAATGGCGGACTCAGAAAATTTTCAGAGAAGGGGCAATTTTTAAAAGACTAAAAATTTGAAAACAAAATTTAGACAACTATTATCTTTAGAATTTAAACAATACTAATGTCACTCATAATTGATGAAAAAAATAACAGTACAAACAAAACATGGAAACCTCTTTGAGACATTTAGTTGAATACATAGCGCCTCTGAGGCATCAATTGTTTTGACAAGAAAAATTTATAAATTTACTAATTAATATTGACCCATAATAATGAGTATAATGGAATTAGATATACGTACTTATTCATCTAAGCAGAATAAGCAATCCCAAAATATAAAAGTGAGAAATAATAACCTGTAAAAGCCACAAGAAATATTTCCTCATAAAATATATCTTCAAGACTAACCCATCAGCACTTAAATTTGCACTGAAGAAATCTTCGAGAGATTTGGGTTGTGGGTTTTCTAGATGGAAGGGAATCCTAATTTAGGGCCAGTTTGGTATTGCTGTACTATGAAAATAATTACTGTCAGATTTGCTGTGAGAGAAATCAACTGTGAGAGAAAGCAGTTTGGCGTTTGGTAAATTTTTATTCAAAGTGTTGTTGGTATTGATTTTACGCATAATCAAAAAATGATTGCCGCATAATCATTAAACTCAACGCCTCTTCGAAACTGATTCCTGCATAATCAGAAAATAAAAGTACCTCATTAGCTGCTTTCCCTTATAGCTTTCTCTCACAGCAATTTTTAACAATAAGTGATTTTCTCACAGTTTACCAAACGGGTTGGGCTTCTCAAAATTTTTTAAAAATCACTTATCACCCCAAATAAGCAATGCCAAACTAGCACTTACT